CTCTAAAATGGCTAGCCGAATGAGGTTTTCGTATGTGGTTGTAGAATTTATGATATTATACTATTTATTGTGGGAAGTAACTGTGTTAGGTATTATTGTAATAGATGACATGTGTGGTGTAGTAGGTGGTAAGTGTGGTGTGTTAAGTAATAATGTGATAGGTGTTATGATGTAGTAGTGTGTTAGATCACCAATAACAACAACCATAAAGAGACCTGGTGTGTCGAGGTGGAAAAAAAAAATGAGAAAAGAGGAGAGACCGGTGGTGTGTTTTGGGGGATAGGCAACCAAGTGGTTGAGTTGGTCTTATGATAAAGTAACCAATGGAATAGAGACACTTGTCTCCATCCCATTGGTTCATCTTTTTTTATTTCTAATAATTTTTAAACTAATATATTTTTTATATAATCAAATAAAAAAATAAATAAATATACCAAAATTCATAATTTTTAATTCTCTACAAATAGAGATCAATTTTGCTATACTTATTTTTTATTTTTAAATTGACATAAATATATAATTTTTAATTCTCTATCATTTAATTTGCACTAATACAATGAAAAAAGTAACAGTTTTTAAAATATGAATATATGCGCTAGACCATATATGATCTAGAGTGTAACTTTGCACTAAATGTTACATCTATCATAATTTGCACTAATACAATAAAAAAAAGTAACAGTTTTTAAAATGTGAATATATGCGCTAGACCATATATGGTCTAGAGTGTAAATTTGCACTAAATCGTATATTTTCAATAGTGTTCTAAGTTTCATGTGTGTTGTAATTTTTAATTTTTCATCTTGTGTGTTGTAATAATATTAAATCAAAGCAAATAAAATAATTATATAATTATATTAAATCAAAGCAAATAAAAGAATTAATTAATAATTAAAATAAAATGGAATAAAAAAAATATAATAATTAAATAAAATCAAATTAAGAAAAAAAAGGTTGTGGTTGGATGTTGGTGTGGTTGCTGATAAACTTGCAAAATTGAAATGGTGTGGTTGGGATGATTATTGATGATGTGGAAGAGAGAGAAAGTAATTAAATATTAGGGTGGTTGAATGGTTGGGTGTTTGGAAAGGTTGTTGTTATTCGTAGTCTTAGGTATTAATGTGGTAGGTGAAAAGTGTACAGTGGATAATGAAATAAATGTGGTTGATGAACCAATAATATAAGCATTGTACCGCATAATAATATGTATATAATTTTTGGTAAAATAAAATTGACATTATATTAGTCTTTGAAAAAATTTGAATTTAATTGTATGGTAGAAGAACGAATTAGATGTGTTGTTGAAAAAAAAAACATGTGAAAACGACCCTTTTCAAAGTAGAACGAACGCCAACAAACATTAATCGAACAAGATATAAGTAAAAGTATGTTATTTTTGTTGAAATATAATTGGAATTATTTTAGTTAAAAAAAAAAAGAGTTTAATTGTATGGTACAAGTTAGATGTATTGTTAAAAAACAAGTGAAAACGAGTTTTTTTCAAAGTATAACAAAGCCAACAAATATTGTTCACACTCATAAAATTTAAAACAATACATAACAACTTAGATAAACAATGCATAACAATTTAAATTATATAACAATAAAAACTCCAAACAACATAAAAAATCATTTGAGACCAAGTTCTTTTCTAAGCACAACAAGAAGTCTAGTGGGCTTGCGAATCTTCTTCTGTCATGGTTGATGTATCTTCCTTTATCATTTGTCAGTACGTCTTTAATGACTATACGAACTAGCTTTTCCAAATCTTTTTATTTCTTCAAATGAATTTATTTAACCTGACCATCTCGGCCAACAAACATTCAACATCTAGATCGATGCTCCCTCCTACAGTTGTTTTTCCCTTTCTCTTTCCTGTCTTTGCTACTTTTTAACCAATTGGTCGACGCACATATTTGTCCTCGCTATCACCACTAGGCTCGACATCTTGCTCAGAGCTAAAATTGTGATCTCCAATATCAAATATTCTCGCTTTCTTTCCTCCTCGAGATGTCTGAGATGTCCCATCAATTTTGGCATTCTTTTTCAAAACCTCCCGACGATTAAGGTATTTAAAGCTTTCTTTCTATTTTCCCTCGTTATTCCACTCAATAATGCATTCTACAATACAATTGCATCATTTTCAACACTTTTTTTTATCAGCCCGAAACATGTTAATTGACATATTAAATTTGAGGCAATCTCCATGGAAAAACATAAAAATAAAATTTTGTTGAGTCCATAGTTGAGGTTTCGTGCTTGGCAAGCTTCATTATAGAACTGTATAATTCGTCTCCAAAAAGCTTGAGACGTTTGTTGAGCGCCAATGACCGGGTTACTTGAGATTGTACAAAAGGCTTGACATAGTAAAACATCATCCTCATGGGCCTAGGACATTTTTGTCGCTATACCGTGAGTTTTAGGCACAATTTCTTTTTATTTTTCTGAATTCGTATCAAGGAAAATGTTGTCAAGTCTTTCAACCTCCGGGAGCGTGCAAGGTTGGGACTTCAATGGGGCTACTAGGGAATCCAGTCGACATGAGATTTCTTTGTTGATAAGGCATCCCAAATGCATTCGTAATGTCATATTGAGGCGACATTGCCCACATATATTGAGATTGATTCATGTTCATTAAATTTGGTGATTGTGAAAAAGAATGTTGCTCTGAAGTCTGTAAAATGGGATAAGAAGACATTTGTGCAGGTACTTGAGAAGGAAAGTTTTGAAATTGGAGTTGTTGCATTCTAAGAAATTGAGTAATTGCATATTTCGTGTATAACGTGAATTTACGAAAGACGGACAGTCATCCTTCGATTAGTTCGACATATTTGAGTTATATTTGTATGGATTGTTATCCATTACAACTTGCATATTTCGTGTATAATGTAAATTTACGAAAGGCGGACTGTCATTCTCCAATTAATTCGGCATATTTGGGTTATATTCGTATGGATGTTATCCATTACAACTTTAGAGGATAAGTTTATTTGATGAAGGTGTAACGCATAACATAACAACAAACAACTTAATTTATAGATGCAAGTTAATATTATTTAAGTAAATGGATACACCAACTCATCAATGAGTGGGAGATGTGGTCACACCATTCAATGTGGAAAACATTAATAGGTATCTTTGATAAGATGTAAGTACACAATGCAAGTTGAAATGAATAACAAATGCAATCAAACAATGATAGATGGATAACTTTTGTTTGTTTGTTTGTTTTATTTATTTTTTTTTTTATGTGTGAAAACACAACATTTTACTACATTTAAATTACTAATTTTTTTTAAAAGTATTAGTAAAATTAAAATTATTTGTAGGCACACATTTTAAATAACACCAGATGTTTTATAATGTGTGACAAAAGTAAAAAATCAAAATAAATTATTTGCTTATAGGTAAACAAATGCTTAGATAAAATTCATGTATAATTGTTTGTTGAAGTTTGAGCAATGTTTGTTAAAGTTCATTATTCTTCGAATTATTTTTTGTTTTTAAACAATCTTGTTTTCTTTTTTCTCTTACGAGCAAATTTTGTTGGAGATTGTTCTTGTTTGAAAATACCTCATTTCCAAATGCTATTTTTCGACAACAATTGCAACTCTTTCTTATTTCAATTATCTGCTTCCTGTTTTTTTTCGAGCTGTCAAGTAACTCAATTTTTTTTTTTTTCTTTTCAAATCAAACAACCTCATTTTACTTTTTGTTCTTTTACAATTGCAAAAGGCTTGTCAGATTCATGGCAAATGTGCGGACACCACAATTCACACAAATTATGAGGCATGGCTTTCACGGACATGGCCACGGGCCTACCCGGCCCGAATTTCACCGGTTCGTTCAACCGGAATCTTGGTCATGCAGGCCGATTCCGAACCTCTTAGTTATTTTTTTTGGTCCTAGCGGGCCGGGCCAGGCCACAGGTTGAAAGACGAGCAACGCTTGGAATTTTTTTTTAACGGGCCGAATCAACCGAAAACCGGCGGGTCAGTGACTCGACGGTTCAGTAGGCCTGCCCATATAAATTCTCGGGCCAATTAAGGGCCATCAATCCAAGGCCCGCCGACCCGCGGCACGGCGCGTGAAATGGCCACGTCTACTTTCACCTCTTCATTTGCCCACAGAAAGTAAAGTGCAACCTACATTTTTACCTATTAAATTTATTTTACAATATTTCTTTTGAGGTTTATGATATAGGTTTGGATTTGCAAACCTTGTATAAAAACATAAACCTCAAACCATAAAGCCTAAAAAACCTGTAGGAGTGGGTTTGTAAACCTCATGCAAAACCCCTTGCTCAATTTGGCCTTAAAGATGCTCTTATTTCTTTCCCCACCTTCACTCGATAATACGGATGCTTAGTTTTTTTTTTTCTTTTTTTTTTTCCGGAGTATCGGGACGAAATTTTACGGGATATCGTATAAACACAAGTTAGTCATTACTTCATTGGATCATTACGAAAAATTATTACTAATTTCACGGTTTCTGCAAGAAATTTCTGCTCAATGTATATAAACAACACGATTTTCTCCAGCAGTGAATTAATTTTGAGGATATAATTTTCATATATCAGCACCTAATCTGTTTTTCACTTCCATAATCCATTGTCATGCCTTATCAAAATTTGGTATCCCATGTTTTCCTTATCTTGATCAATTTGGCCACACTCTCAAATGTTTTTCTTGAATAGAGACAAAGTTCTGCTTCAGTTTCAAATCATTCCATATGTAACAGAATTATAAGTGCAAAATGTTTGGAAGACAAATTCGCAACTGTTGCGTAAAATGAAAACCATGGGTACCCAAATTGATATGACCTGAAACTATGAAGGTACCGATAGTCTAAAATGCAGTAGCAGTATAGATAGCTCGAGTACTGAAGTTAAAACTATCCTGACCCGAAGTTCCTACATTTCCCTCATTACAAATTCACAACGCAATAAACAAATATATATAAAAGGTATTGGATAGCACAATTTACTTACCACTCCACAATTAAGTATGTTCGGAAGGAAGTATCCCAGCACAACGATCACTGCCACAAAAGCAAGGTCTGCCATCCAGCTTCACCCGAACATCCCCATAGCTAAAAGTAAGCTCCTCATCTTTCGGAATATCTCTAGACGAGAAGAAGCACACACGGGGGAGTAAAGCCCCCGAGCTCCTCACAATCTTTGTGTCGAGATTTCCACCTTCACACGAGTGGTTGATAAACCGAGCCACATTTCCAGCTCGGGTGGCGTCGATGTTGATCCTCATGCACGCATTTCCCGAAGGAAGGTGCTCTTTCACGACCAGAAGGGCAGGCGTTAAATGTCCGTTTGGTTTGAGTTTATCGTACGTGTCCTGCCTCTGTCTTGCTTCCTCTGTCGACAAAAGTTCGCCTTCGAATAGCAATAATCCATATGGTAAAGATGCAGCATATATCATCTCAATTACTAAAGGTATGCACTAGTTATATTATCTTGAAAAACTGGAAATCAACAGCTTTCACATGAAGTTCTCTATATGATAAGAAAAAAGAGGGGTTCACCAGAAATCGATTACCTGCATACTCACAGATGAACTGCCCACAAGGAATCAGCTGATCAGCAAATAATCCCCACCCTTTCTTCTCATCCTTCACTATCTTCAACTTCACCGACAACCCTAACTGAGTCGCCCGATTCCCACAAGCTGAGTCACACTCGCAGCTCGGCCCGCATTCCCTGGTCAGCGATAATCCGCCGGAATCCAAACACGGGCAACCGTCGCCGCAGTCCGATTCGCATCCGCAACCAGTGGAACCGCTGACCAGGAACAGGAACGGGTCGGCCGGACTATGTTCACCGCGTAACCTGGCATCGCCGTCGTATCCCCAGGGCTGACGGGAATCTGGGCCTAGACGGAGGATTTGGGTGGGTGTGTAGAGGAAGGAGGAGTACGGCTGTGAGTCGCTGGTGATGGGGTTGAGGAATGGGATCGGAAGGTTTTCGAACCCTCTGGAAGCGTCGGAGATTCTTCGCGATGTCACGAGTTGGGAGATTTGGTGAAGGGCTTTGCAGGTTTGGGAAACAGAGGCTAGCTCGGCGGGGGTAAGGTACGGGAGGACTACGGCGGCGCATCGGAAGAATGCTTCCTCCGAGAGGCGGCCGCTGGTTTTACGGGGCCGTTCTTCCATTTCCAAATCCAAAGACTACAATGTTGCTAAGAAAATATTCATGTCACTGTGTTGTTTAATTTGTGTTAAATTGAACGAGTCTGATAAATCTCGGCTCCACTTAGGCATTAGCGACTGGGGGGTGCCTACTTGCAATTTTAAACAGCACCTGCAGTGCACTCCTCCCCACCAGTGCACCGCAGGTGCTGTCACCGTAGGCACCCCCATCAAGCTTTAGTTGAGTTGGCTCGATAAGGATCGTAAAGAAAAAATTTATGTAATTTTTTATAGTGTGGCTGTTTCATTATAGTTGGAGATCAGCTTATTTAAGCTCGAACTCTATCCGTTATTAGTGATAACGAGCCGAAAAATCAAACTCGATTTCAGGCTCGTTTATTTAACTAATGAAGAAATGATTGATTTTATATACTATGTATAAAAAAGGGAAATGTTACGGTCCCGTTACGGTTATCCCTCGAATGTATTAACCGTTGGATCATCTATCTTATACATCCGTAACGTGACTATAATATTTCCGTATAAAACATCCGACGGGATGTTACCGTAACGGGACTATAATATTTCCCTATACAAAATTTATAATAAAAAAAAAGGTAATTTTTAAAACACATTTACAATTTAAGTTAGTAAAGTGCATTATAATTAAAGAATATTGAGAGACAAAAAAAAAAAAAAAAAGAAAGAAAGACTTAGGCAAAATATTCATACTTTATAAACCACATACAAAATAGAAAATTATATCAAAACACAATTCATGCTCATAAAAATGGTCATAAACATATTGGATATTTATGTATAAATCCAAGCCTAATTATTATGGGTTGTGGTGTAGATTAATTATTATTATTATTATTATTATTATTATTATTATTATTATTATTATTATTATTATTATTATTATCATCTAATAGGTGTCTTAGAGAATAAGTTAGGATTTAATATTATTGTTTAATATTAGTAAGAGATCTTGTCTTGTTGGACAAGTTAAGGTCTAAGGTTAGGAGCCTTATTTAAAGGGTTTTTCTGCTTTGTTATGAGATGGTTGATTTTGAATGAAAAAATGAATTAATTGTGAGTTTTACGTGTTTTACGAGAGAGTATCTCGTTTACTCGTCTATCCTTCTCATTCGTACGTTTTCGCTATATCAGTTGGTATCAGCAGTCAGTACGATTCGCGATGTCGCCGGGACGACAGGATGCCGCAAACGAACAACGTGATGCAATCTTCTACAATCGGTTTCAACAGATTGACTACCGATTTGAAGAGTTGGACGTGCGTTTCACAGATTGGTTTGCCGATCTTTCGACGGGGATCGATGATTCATGTTTGACGCTTAACAATGTGGTCTGAGATTTGCAGATGAACCATGCCACCGGCGACCGGGGTGTGCACGGGGGAGTTCACGGAGGAAGTGGGGGTCGTGTTCCAGGCGGGGCGCCCCGTCGGCGATCTCCACAACCGCCATCCGGCGATGCAGACGACGAGGAGACCATCTTGGAGGTTGGTCCCTTCGGAGAGTGTCCGTCTCCGCCAGTCGAGACTGAGCTCGTTGTTGCGCACGACGATCAAGATGTGCGGCAACAAGGTGTGGTTTTTGAGGAACATGACGGACTATTGTACGACGGTCCGCCTATTTTTTATGAGGAGCCACCGGTGACGGAGATATATTCATGCGACAATATGGGTCCCGCATGGGACGTCGCAGAGGTTGAGCCTTCGAACGTGAATCCATCGTTCAGACCTTATTTTCGGAGTATCTTGGCCAAAGATGATTTTTGGGAGTCGAAGCCGAGAGTCAATAATTGGTGGGCCATTTTACGATTGTCTATCGCAAAGTTTCCCAACAACGGGATGCTTGGCCATAGTTATGGATTTGAGCACGGTCAACAATGTGGTATGTTTGGTGTTAATTCTATTGTGTGGGTTATGCGTAGGGAGACGTGTACATGTACCTTTGCAGTTGTACAACACTTGCTCAAGCTTATGTTTCCTATCGGGCTTGTTGGACGACATTCATCCTTCGTGTTCGACCGGGGGAAACGACGGGTGTTTCCTAGTTCGACACCACATGCCGGCCACGGGAGCGCAACGGCTTCGAGGGCGAAGCCTTCCGAACCGGAGGAGAATGGTGTAGATTAGTAATTATTATTATTATTATTATTATTATTATTATTATTATTATTATTATTATTATTATTATTATCATCATCATCTAATAGGTGTCTTAGAGAATAAGTTAGGATTTAATATTATTGTTTAATATTAGTAAGAGATCTTGTCTTGTTGGACAAGTTAAGGTCTAAGGTTAGGAGTCTTATTTAAAGGGCTTTTCTGCTTTGTTATGAGATGATTGATTTTGAATGAAAAAATGAATTAATTGTGAGTTTTACGTGTTTTACGAGAGAGTCTCGTTTACTCGTTTATCCTTTCGATGATCTCTACCGGGCCAAATTTACGAACCGAAAACTTGTTATACGCACAAGCCGAAAAATTATCCGTCGGCAAGACCACCCATACAAAATCACCGACTTCAAAGACGGTGCCACTGACACGGGTACCCAAAATGGATTGCTCGTGTTCCAAATTAATTCGCCCCTGCTCCATTCCCAACAACAAATCGCGGTGTTCAGCACATTTAGTAATTTAAAAGTTATTTCAGCCAAACGAAGAAACATAAAATTTTGCCGAATAGGACCCCGAAGTGCGCGAGTCTCCTACCATTTAGTTTCAGCACATTTAGAAATTGAATATAAGAGAAAAACTTGGATTAGATGAGTAGAGAATTTTGAGGAACGAAGACCCAGATCCGAAGGAATCGATTGAAGACTAAGCGAGCAGAAAAGCAGTTGCAAGCAGGTAGGAGCCCCAACTAAGACTAAGCTAGTCACGACCAACTCTTGGAAAGAAATTCCAACATTCTACTATGAAAACAAGCTCCCGAGGGCCAGCCGAGGCTTATCCGAAGGTCAGGAATCTCATCCCTTCAAGGGAATCCACCTTTCAACTTCCTAGCATGGGAACTGACTTATGAATGGGGCAACTTGGATATAGACATGGCCACGGACCGCCTGCCTTGGACCCAACCCAATCAAGCCCGTTGATCACGGGTTCAGGCTCAACTCGAATTTTAATTGGGCCGGTCCAGGCCTTGTTTTTTCGACCCAGGCCCGATGGGCCACGCCAGGCCCGGTCCGGCCTGGAAAAAAACAACATATTTTGTATGCGTTTTTTAATCTAGATGGGCCCAGCTTTGACCGACGGGCCACGGACCCGGCACGAGCCTAGGTGCGTACCGGTTCCGGGTCCATGATTTCGAGCCCATCGGCGCGGGCTCAACCTGTATTTTGGCCACCTCTACTTGGATATGAGACGAAACTGGCTTTAAACAGTTTTCATCGATTGAGTAATTTTATTTTATATCATCTAATATATAATACAACTCTATCAACACTACTCAATATTATTAATATAAATAAATAATATAATTAAATCATCCCCATACATCACATCAACTTTAATTCACAGTTTATTCACTCCCATAAATTTAACTACATAGCACTTCTAATAATTTCTTTCATACTTTTATAATACATCAACTTTAATCATTACGTTTCATATAATTATTAGATTACAAACACAAAATAGTCCATCCAATCAATTTTATTAATAATAATTCACTTTAACCAACCAATTCTAACAAAACCGGTTGGATGAATATCCAGTCGCGCCCTAGTTCTCTTCTTCTACTTTAAACTTTCTTTTTTTTTTTTAAAAAAAAACTTTTTGGTTGAATTTTTTTTTTTTTTTAAATTTCAAAACGACAAATTTCATAGATGAAACATAATTACAATAAGACAACAATTAAAAATAACCAAACAGCCATCTAGCTGAATCTATTATGAGGACATCCCAAAATCAGGAGCCTAGATAACTACGCTAACTCACCTACAAAACAAACAAACTAAGAAAGTCCCACAGTGGTAAACAACAACTCCTCCTACAAGATTAAAATAAACTACTAAGAGCCTGTTTGATAGGGTAGATTAGATAAGATTAAGCCCATATCAAGGTCCAGTCCATCGTTTGCTATCCAGGTTTGCTGCCCGTAAGATTAGACACAGCCCGGGATTAAAACAATTAAATCTTGGGTATGGGGCATTATTTAATCCCGTGTTGGACACGGGATTTTCCGAATCCCAACAGTATGTATATTGCTAAAAGTCCATCCTGACCCTGAAATTTTTATATTTTGTACGAAAATATCCTCCACAGACTGAAAAATTACAAGTTGCCAAGTATAAGACCATCTTCCTCTTCACCCCAACGCCGTCGAACAAGATCCGTGAGTAGAGGTGTTCAAGTGCCGAAATTAACTGCTTTCTTCTGTAATTGTTTTTTTCTTCTCTTCTCCGCTCCGTTCGAGCATAGTTTGTTCGTAAAACCCTAATTTATGGGTTGCAGTTATATCACGAGCACGCTTGATCCTGTACTTTGCGAGGCACGAAGTTTTGTGATTTCCTATCGTCATCCTCGTTCATCACTGGTAATTTATAGAAGTAACGTTTATTTATTTATTTATTTATTTTTTTGCGTAATAGCCATTAATTCCCGGAGATGAGACCATTGTGGGGGTCTGTTAGGAATAGCCATGAATTACCATACTTTTTATGTTTATTTGTAGCTGAAAGTGAGTTTTCTTATATATATGTTGTTTGGGTTATGAATTGTTGATGTTCTTATCTTGGACACTATTGTTTGTATGTTAATGAATATTTTGCAGGCTTGTTAAGATGAATAAGTTGATATGTTGTTTGATGAAGAATAAGAAATTACATACCGATGATATGTAGTTCAGTTTTCACCAATTACTTTGATTCCTATGAATTTTAATTTTACTGATAGAGGCCGACGATAACATGTTTTCCTTTTCCACCGGCGGACGGCGGTCGATTAGGCTACATTTTGTGGGAAAAAACAAGAAAAAATCTAATGTATATGTTCACGGATGTTTCAGTCAGTGATTTAAAAACCATACCGTACTGGCCGGTAATATCGGTATTACCGAATACCGGCCATAGGTACGGTACAAAAACACTCAAAATACCGGATTTCCAATAATACCGTGTTGTACCGGTATCATACCGTATATACCGCAAAATACCGGTCTTAAATACCGGTCGAAAAAAAAAAAAAAAAACTGCCATACACGCATCAAAACCTGATATTTCTTTTATTTTTTTGAAAAAAAAAAAAGCCAAAACTGAAAGTATACCTAAGATTGACACTAATAAATGTACATTTTCACTCTTTAGCATCACTCAATATTTTATATTTTAATATGATATCTTATATAGAATAGATATATAATATTATTTGTTAGTAGACCGGTAATACCGGTGGTATTACCGGTCCTACCGATAATACCGCATACCGGTGGCTAGGCCGGTATGCCTACCGGTACGGTATTTAAAACATTGGTTTCAGTAATTAATTTAATAAAAGGATAAATCAGTAATTTCGTTTTCTACCCTAACAATTATCACTTCACACAAACACAACATTCAACTTTGTCCAAAGTTCCACCTTCATGCAATCATGGACACCAAACTCACTATTCAACACATCTTAACAGTGTAATCACCTAGCTTTTAGGATTAATATAGTCTAATCTCATCTTCCTTATCAAACACGCCCTAAGAAGCAGAAAAACACAACACACACAAATCCACATAAACACTAACACAGACATAACAACACTAGTAATAATAGACTAACACCCTCCTCTAAGCTAGCAAATAGATTGCAACACACCACGGCCCGACACTTGGAGGGAGCCACCCAAATGGATAAAACTCCAGCACGGGTACCGAATTAGAACTCCAACATAGTCACGACTAGCTTGAACCACACCCAGCGACCAAAACCTTCTCCCAGGGGCGGACGCAGGTTTTAAGGACAACGGGGGCACAAACTATGGTCAACGGTCAACGTCGGAAGTCAACGGTCAAATCAATATTTAACCAACTAAAAAATAAAAATATTAAAATTTTTGACCATTGATTGTTTCTTATTTCATAGCTAGAGTTGAGTCGATCATTCCCATTTAAAAATAGAGACACATTTGATCCAACTCCTATATGGTATATACATTTATGTATATTATGTATTTTTTTTTTTATGTTTTTCAATTTTTGGGAGAGAAAAGGAAATAAACAAGAAGTTGAGTATAACATAAATATAAATTCCACAACTTAAAAAATAACACACTATTGAATGTTAAATAATTCTAAACATTTTCTTTTTATTTTTTATATTGAAATAACTTTGCATAATATAATTAATAACATGTATTTTTTATGTCAAGATAATAATACATTTATACATATAACATATATATATTATAGTACACAAAATTCTACAGGGGCCCGTGCCCCTACGGGCCCCTATGTAGATCCGCCCCTGCCTTCTCCAGATGACCCAGACCAGAGCTGGAGGACGTCACCTCTCTCCTCATCCACCCATTAACGCTCAAAACCCAACGGACGGGCGACACGAACGGCAGGGGCCGTTATCCACCACCGATCGAACCATTCAACCCAACACCAACCTCCAGTACCAGGGAGACGGTAAATGGTGGGGAGGGGAGT